CGGGAATGCCCGTGGAGAGCATCATCGCGAAGAGGCTGATGATGAAGTTGCCCCGCCGACGGATGATCAGAAACGCCTGCTCGCACACCGACTGGAAGCGGATGAAGCGTTCGGTATTTTTGTCCTGCGAAATTACGTAAACCATGTCGTGCGTCAACACGAAAGGCACACGCTCACGGCGGATGCCAAACTTTTCCTAGAGAAGGAGAAAAATGAATGTGAAGAAAGCAATAGCAATAATGTCATTAATAATGTTTAGCAGCCTACCAACACAGACTAACTACACTACGATTGTTATCAACTACTACCGACTTTCATTAAACGCCTACTCCTCCAGCCACACAAATGGACTTACCTTGAACTTGCCGAGAATGTGGCCAAAGTCAATGTGAAAGAGCTGTCCATTTCGCTTCACCATGATGTTGTCGTTGTGGCGGTCGGCAATGCCCAGCACGTAGGTGGCCACGCAGTAGCCCGCACAGCTGAAGGTGAACTCCTCGACGGCCTTCTTCAGCGCCTCCTCGCCCGCGTTGTGGTCCTTCAGCCAACTGTAGATGGAGCCCTTGCGGAAGGCGGCCAGCGCCGCCGAGCTCTTCTCCTTCTGAATGTTGGCGATGGTGTCGGCGTTGAGCACCACCTCGATGAGGCCGACGTTCTTCGCCAGTGAGACGCACTTGTAGGGCGTCATGCGCAGGTCCAGCCCCTCCTCCTTCCACATGTAGTCCATGATGCGAATCATCTGCAGCGTCAGCATGTCCTGCCGCAGGTCGTCGCCATTCTTGAACATCAGGTAGATGTCCGGCGCCGCCCGGTCCGCGTTCTCAAACACCAACCACAGCGGCTTCATCTTCGAGTCCATGAACTTGCACTTGTTGATGCGCAGCAGGCCCAGCTTGTAGGCCGGGTCGAGCGGGTTGATCACGTCGTTGAGCGTCTCCTGGTAGTACTTCTGCTTGAGAATCTCCTGCATCTGGACGATCTTCTTTTCACGCGAGTCGCGCGACTTGTCCTCGCGAATGATCTCATTGATGCGTCGCAGCTTGCTGATGCACTCAATCTGCTTCGTTAAAATCTGCAAAGGTAAAAACGGTTATTTTTAGAAACTTACATCACCAGCATGCATACATGAATGTGATCTACCGCTCCTCTGCAGTAGGCCTCGAGAATCAGCCCAAAGTGCACCGATACCGCCGGGTCGTGCATCTCCGCTCGCAGGAGCCAAAAAAGTTGGTGGCCGATTCTTTGGTTTTCAAAGGCTCGCTCTAGGAGAAACTGCACCAGATCATTGTAGATGTACGACTCGTACTTGAGCGCCTGCACCAGTTGAAGGAGAAAGTGCGACAGCTGTTCGCCGTTCATGTCTGGCAGAGCAAAATGTTAAAAGTCATCACTAAATATCACTAAACACCTATCCCCCATACCCTTCAAGCACTCAATTGCGTAGTGCCGCACAAATGAGTCCGGATAGGCGTAGTCCAGCAATTCCAGCGCCTTCGAGGGCGACACCTTCGGCCAGTCGTTGAGCAGCGTCAGCACCTGCCCAACTGACTTCTGCTGGTTCCACTTGAAGCTAAGGAGGAGCTTGTTCAGCGCATTGGGCATCGCCCGTTTGCAGTCCTCCCGCAGCAGCATCAGCAGCTCACACTCCTGGTCGGTCATGCGGTAGAGCAGGTCACGGTCGCAGAAGTCGCTGATTTGCTCTGCAGAGATAATAAATGTTATTAGTTTTCCGTCTGTTTTTTTTATTTCCCAAAATCTGACTTACTCAGAAACTGCTTCGAGGCGTGTCCCTTGCTGAGCGACGCCCTCAGCCGCTGCTGCTCCGGCAGGTCCACCTTCTCAATGGCCAGCGACTGCTTCCGGGCCCAGGCAGTCCGGACGCTGGAGGCACTGGAGGCGCTGGCACAGCGACGAATGGGCGGCACCTCAAAGGTGTCCTCCTCCTCGGGGTCAGTCTGCACCTCCGCAGAGGCGGCCCCATCAATGTCAGCGCCGTCCTCCGGGCGCTCCTCGGGAAAGGAGTTCAGCGTCGGCTGGCTGGCGTAACTGCGCGAAATCTCCTTCATCTCCGGGTACCTGGTCAGGAGAGGTAGATTAGTGTTAACATGAAAGGAGCAAGCGTAGGTTTGCATGTACTTAATGATGGCATTATCTCCCTCCGAGTATTTGGTGAATGAAATCGTCAACAACGGGCACTCCACCACGGCCGGGTTCTGCACCACCGTGCCCAGTGGATTAAAGTATTTGGCATAGGCCTCGTCCGAGTCACAGCTGTTTGCATCGTCGCACACCTCATCATCGTCAAACGGCCACAGGCAGAGGGTGGTCGAGTTCTCGCGCAGTATTCCTGGCAAAAGTTGTGGGTATTAAGAAGGGAAAATAAAGAAATGAAGTTACCTTTGTAGTCATAAAAGTTGATATTGCCCCAGAAGAGCTTGGCAGAGGGCTTGGCCGCCAGCACCGCCACCGACTGGCTCTTGCTCAGCTTCTTACTGTTGCCGCTGTTGCCAGAGAAGCCTACTACACTGAAACACAGTCGAGCCATTCGCGGCAGGTCAGAGACCTTCAGGTTGAAGACGATGTCATTGTCCCAGGTAAAGGAGGAGTGATTCGTGTCAAGCATCACCAGATTGGGCGCCGACTTGGCCAGTGAGCCCGACTCGGAGGTGGGCGTCGTCATGTAGTGCTCCACGAGCAGCTCGCCGCCGTGGAAGATGCCCGCCATGATGGAGATGCGGTTGATGTCCGTTCTGCAAAAAAAATGAAGAAAAATGGGTAAAAACTTGAGGCAAAAGACCTTGTACTAGTACTGACCCATAGGTAATTCGACTGGCCGAGTGAATGCGAATCACCAGCTTCCGGTCGACGGACCAGGAGGAGAAGGTGGTGTGCCGGCGTTTGGCATTCAGCAGGACACTGGTCAGAGATCCAAGAGAAATAGTGGATTGAGAGCGCATTCGAGGGGTGACGGGGAGAAAGTCAGGCACTGAGTAAATGGACTCATCTTCAACTACAACAACACGGCAAGCACAACAACATGCAAAAGGGGCAGAGGGGAGGGAAAGAGGGAGGGAAAAGGGCAAAATGAAATGAGACATGCAATAGATACCCTCCTCCTTCTCCTCCGGACGAATCCTCCTCGAGGGAGCGTTTTGTCTGGGGCGACGACGGTGAGGATGCCGGTGATGATGATGATGATGGACGCAAGTGGCGTGGCAGACGGCGAGGATTGCGACGCTGGCGACGACGGTGACGACGAAGGTACAACGCTGAACAACACGTACAGGTGCAGCAACAGCCCAAAGTGGGTGGGAAAGGTGGAGAAGGGTCAGCATCATTTGGGTGAAGGTGTGTTTATGTGTTATAAGTGGTCAGAAATGAGTCAGCTCATTTGGAAAGGAGTTAAAAGAGTAGAGAAAGTAGTAGAAGTAGTGGAAGAAGAAGATTCAAGAAGTGGTGATGTCAAGTGAGAGAAAGAGAGCAAGAGAAAAGAAAAAGAGGGTTGATTGGAAATCGTTAAAAATAGAGCAGTAAAGTGAGAGAAAAGGTCAGAAAGGTAGTTTTTGGCTTAGTTAGTCTGCTTGTTTGTTTGTTTGTTTGAAGCATTCCATCACCACCGCATGCGCCCTCATCTAGATCATCATTAGTACGCTGTCCGTTGTTGTTTCCCTTCCCACAGTAAAACACCCTCAGCCGTAACAGGCTTTCAGCATGCACCCCATCCCACCCACTTACACTCAATTGAGTTCTTCCAAACGGCCACCAGCTCCACAGTCTGATCATTGAGCAGCATATTTCGAACCGTCTTGTACTGTATGAGTTTGAACTGCTTGTTTCGACTTCCCGGTGGGCAGTCTAGTCAAAAGAGAAAACAAAGAATCAGAATTAGAAAGACACTGCAATACAGTAAAAGACTGCATTGGCACGTGCAGATGCAAGAAAGCGCGCTAACCATACAAGTACTCGAGGCAGCCGTTAATTTTCAGCAGAAAGTACGTCGTTCCAAGATGAGTAGGGTTGTCGGCTTCAAAAGAGGTGTCGTAGTAGGAGTCAGCCTCACAGAGGGACATCAGCTGCTGGAAGGCAGTCGAGTAGGCTGGCTCGCTCATTAGCTTGCGCATTGTAGCGGTGAGAATTTCATCCGGCGTAAACATGTGGTGCACCTTCAGATCGAGGGTGATGGCAGGCCGTTCAAAGGATACCTGAAGAATAAAAGGTAAACAAAGAGATTTAAAAAACAAACTGCCACCGAAACACTTACCCTGATGTTAATGTAGCCATCAGCCGGTATCCGCCGCAGCAGGTACCGCGGCACCTCCAGACTGGGCTCATGGGCCACCGGGTAGATGTACTTCATCTTGTCGAGCCAATTGTGGTTCTGGCGAATCTTGACGATCTCCTCGCAGAGTGTTCGCATCTTGTAGCGAAACTCGTTCACCTCGGCGTTTCTCAGCGCGTCAAACTCCTTCAGCGGCTTGCCAATCAGCCGGCCGATCTGCTCGTCCAGCTGAAGACTGGCAGTGTCCTTCTTCGTCTCCAGCAGCTTGATGAAGCCGCCAAAGGGCTGAGCATCACAGAGGCGAATCTCCTCATCGTCGACGTCCTTTGACGCGGCGGCGGAGAAGTCGACGTAATTGAAGCGGTATGATTTTGGATCACGCAGGGCACCGTACATTGGCCCTCTTTGAGCAAGCTCGAACACTTCCTCCTTCAGCTCGAAGAAGGTGGCACTGGGTGACATCTCGACGGTGATCACCGTTCCGTTTGGCATCAGAATGCAGATGGTGAGCTTGGCCGTTGGAGCCTCATCAAAGGAGAGGTTTAGCATGTCCGGCGGCTCCACCAGGTATCGGGTCTCCTCCAGCTCATCCTTAGGGTTGAGCAGGCGTGCGTAGTGCTCCCAGGGCCGATCCACAATCTGGGGCGGCAGGAGGAGGTCGACATCACCGTAGTGCAGGTCAGTCATTTTTCGTGCAGGATCCGAATCAGGAGCAGAGAAGCTGCTCAACTGATCGAAGCCAAACATTGTGACTCGTGAACGGCAAACGCTTTATTTTTTGGCAAATTCTAGTTCCGGCGAAGCTCACGCATTTTTGCGCTGGCGGCAGTGGTGAAGTGGTAGTGGTAGTAGAAGGTAAGTGTGTAACAAGTGAGAAGGGAAGGAGTGCTAGAGAGGTGATAAAAACAACGGCAGCAAAATGGAAGAGGATACCAGATTTCCGGTGGCGTTATTGCAAGATATATTATTGCGGCGAAAAACCAGTAGTACAACAACAAAATGGCCAAGTAAAAGCAAGCTAAAAACAAGCAGTTTGATATGTGTGTGTGAAGGGGAGGGGGTAAAACTACGGCTGAATGTCACAGTATTATCACAGTTAGAGGGTGACCAGCAGCCGAAGATGATGGTGATGATGATGATGGTGTCACATTTGATGGCGCACAGTTGATGCTGATCCAGTGGAAGATGGACAGCTGCTGCTGCTGATGCGTGTGATGCGGAAAGCGGTAGCAGCACGCGGCGGCGCCAGCCAGGCAGCCAGCAACAGCTGCTGCTGCAAGGTAGAAAAGAAGTGAAGCCAAANCATCTTTTGCGAAAAATCTTACCAGAAATATTCTCATGCACAAGTTTTGAATTGTCAAATTCTTTGTTTTTGCAGTCAGAAAAGTGTTTATGTTTGACGATCGATGACAGGAAACAGTTTTTCTATGTGTTACCTTTAAAGATCGCTTCAGATCATCACCCACCAAAACAAATGCTTGCAAAAACAATGGAGAATTTGAGCAGCATTGAAACTGTTGAGATAATTAGCTGCCGTTCAGCAGTCTTTCACTTATTGCTAGGGTAGTTTTTGAAAAGGTAGCACATAGCAGAACTATTTCCCATTAACGATCGTCAAAAAT